GACAGACAGACAGACAGACAGACAAATCCTGTGCAGTCACAGTATCCTGCAGTCACATGATTGCCATTTGCGACCTTCACAGCTGGCTTCTCACAAGCAAAGTCAATGGGGAAGCCAGCAGAAGGTCGCAAATGGCAATCATGTGACTGCAGGATACTGTGACTGCACAGGATTTGTCTGTCTGTCTGTCTGTCTGTCTATCTATCTATCTATCTATCTATCTATCTATCTATCTATCTATCTATCTATCTATCTACCTACCTACCTACCTACCTATCAATTCAACTGCCGTCGTAAGTTGGTGCAGTCATGTGATGTTACACCTTATGACAGCATTGCTTAGCAATGGAATTGCCAGTCCCAATTACCATCATTAAGTGAGGACTACCTGTACATGATAGATAGATAGATAGATAGATAGATAGATAGATAGATAGATAGATAGATAGAGAAAGAAAGAAAGAAAGAAAGAAAGAAAGAAAGAAAGAAAGAAAGAAAGAAAGAAAGAAAGAAAGAAAGAAGTATCTCTTCAGGATCAAAATGATGAACAGAAAAGAGATTTAACTTGCATTCTGCCCACTGCTGTTCATTACCATCCATGCAAATATCCCCTCCCCTAAAATGGCTAGCTGCCTTAGATGAGGAACTGCGATCAAAGCCAAATGGAAATAGAAGGGCAGTGCAAGGAAAGGATTAACCCTTTTTCTCACACTGATTGTGTTTCCAGTTCCTCCTCTTCAACTATTTAATTTCATTCATATCCCACCCTATATAAAAACATACCAGAGTAAATTGTAATAGTTATAATAGGGTTCAAGCAATCTCACTAAAGTCACCAAATCAATGAGAACCTGAGCAGAGCAATGAATGCAACCAATCATCATTAAAACTGCAAATAAATAAAGCAAATAACAGAAGAATAAGCATCACAGAACCTGTTAACATTCAGTATGATGGACCATGTCAGTTCATAAGGCAGATGAGTCTCATCCTGGTGCCAAAACCTTAAGAAGGCTGGTAACAAGTAACCTGTATGTGCATGTGTGTGTGTGGGGGGGGGAGCATTCACATCATTGCTATTTTTTATTATTTAAAAAATGAAGTGCAATCATACATTTAAAGCAGCGGTGGCCAAGGACTGCACTGAAAACCAAGGAGAAGACCTCATGCAATGATGCAAACGGGCAGGACTTGAGTGTTTTTTCTGTACTGGGAAGTTCCTTTGCTGTTTAAAACTATGCTAAGCTTATTTTATAGCATATGGCTATTTGCCTGAGACACAATGGAAAAGGTTACTTGGGGACATTTTTATCAGTGCTGCCAAATTTCATGTTGTTTACAGTTTATCATTCAGGTCTCACATTCGCTTATTATAAATATTTGCCAGACTGTCTTTGTTTATTGTTTAAATCTTTTGATCTTAAAAAAAAAAAAAACAGAACCCCACATTACTAATATACTGTTGGGGAGCAGGGTCATTTCCTTTGCTTGATTTTGGAGAAAAGCTGGATGAGGATTTGAGAGGGATACAATTCCCTGTATTGATTTGATACCAGTTCTTGCAATACCATATAGGAATTCCCAAAACCCAGTGATTGTGACAACATATTAGCCTGTATGCAATTCAGATGGTAACATTTTGAAATTCAACATGTCATTTTGTGCAAAAAAGAAAAATCAGTTCCTTCAATTAAACAAGGCTAAAGCACTACGGATGACATGTTGAATTCTTGTTTCTTTCCTTCTGTAGTGCTTCCCAAGATATTACATATGCCTGAAGTATTACAAAAGCTTATACATCTGTGAATAGAGAAATCAGTGGAATGATGGTAAAAAAGAAAGAGAAAAAAGCATTACTACCTGTTTTGAGAAATGAAGGCCTGTGATAAGACCCACTGGACTTATCTATGGCAGTGTTTCCCAACGTTGGCCAGTTCCAGGTGTATAGACTTTAAATCCCAGAATTCCACAACCAGCATGGCCATTGAGAAGAATTCTAGGAGTTGAAGTCTACACTCTTGGAAATCACCAAGGTTGGGAAACACTGCTCTATGGAGTTGTGCTTTCCAGTGTGGCAGCCCTGAGATCTGCTTTACCTAGTTTGGTTTCACAGTGCTCTCCGGTCCATCCTGCAGAGCAGAAGCAGAAGCCATCTCCGAGCAGTCCTTCGTTGCATATCCCATTCCCCGAACAATTGCACTCTGCAATGGAAAGGAAGCAACCATCATAATTTTGGGCTAAGTAAAGGAGCACATGGTGGTGTGGAGTATGGTGCTGTGCCAAGCTCTTTTTTCACCTGACCATTCCCCCTCATTTTTATTTTTTATCGAAGGATAAAAACATCTCAGTGAAATCCTGATAATCAGTAAATTACTAGATAACCAATAGACATTTGAGCATCTTATCTTTCAGTGTAAATCTACCTGTTCAACCATCTATAACCTCCCTGTCCTCCTATACTGGAATGAATGCTATTACAGCGAAGTCAGAGTGATGGAAAGAAAGTTATTAGCAGGAGGGAGAGGGATACACCCATCCACCATCCTGCAAGAAGAACATGGAAATAACTTTGAAAGCACTCAGATAATGAGATAGAAAGTGAGAAACATAAAATGTTGAGAGTATCTGAAGAACAATTTCAGTATTAGTATTAAAGGTAATGCTGGCTCTAGGCTAAGGCCAAGTAGGTACCAGCCTGGGGGCGCCAAATTTTAGGGGTCACCAAAATTGAAAAGACTTCCAAAAAACACAATAAAAAAGCAAAAAGCAGTAATGGTGCACTCTGTGAGCCAGTGCACCTGCTCAAGGTTTAAATATAATTTTGCAGTATAAATAGGGTGAAAATGTCCAAGAAAAGAAAAGAAAAATCTCTGGGGCTGAAAATCCTAAGTGTAAAGCTCAAAAACTAGAAGAAAAAAAAGAAACAACAGGATGCCTTATTGAAATTCCAAACAAAATTGGAAGATGAGCCAAACCATAGTGGGCATCAGAATATGACTACTAGGGCACCAAAATGTCTAGAGCAGGCCCTGATTAAAGAAGATTAGTTTTCATTCCTCTGGTGTCCTGTAGTCCTGAATTGCACAATTCAGCCACAACTGCAGGAATCTTACAAGGTATGGACCATTAAAAAAAATGAAAATGACTTTAATTTTAGAATTGAGGGTGCCACATTGAGAGGGCAGCAGTCCATGAGCACCGTGTTACCAAATCCTATATCACTCAATCACCCAAAATATTCCAAACAGTATAATGCAGATATATCACTTTTTTTAAAAAATCATCCTTTTCCCCACTAAACACAGAGTGGGTGAAAGCGGAAAAAATCACAAGTATAATCTTCAAATACCGCTGGACATCCAGTGTAGAAGATATATAGGAATTACCAGACAATGCAAAGGGCACCATCATGGCAAATAGTGAAGGAGAGCCAAATTACAAGCTTCTGTTAGGGTGAAAACATTGTCATACCTTTGCAGTCTGGCCCATAGTGTCCTGGAGCACAGTGTTCACAAGCCACTCCCACAAAAGTTGCATTACAGTTGCACTGTCCTGACCCTTTATACCCATCATCACATGTACCACGATTCTGGCATGGTGCCTCCAACCCTCCAGGGCACACTGAAAAGGAAGAACCAATAAACATTTTTCAACCAAATGTATTCCTTGAGAAATGAAGAACAAATGAGGTCATACAGGCTTTCCAAGAGGACCACAGTCTATTTGGTCACACAGTTTTATCCATCTCCTAGAAGCAACTGTGTTGCAAGCTACAGGTAGTAGCTTCCTTCACCCTTGAAACTTTATGTACTGGGCATGTATCATTTTTCATTTTTCTCCAGTGCTTGGCAATTATTTTAGGCACTTAATCACCATAATTATTAGTAGATTTGCCAGTTATTGCAACACCTAAAATGATCATTAGAGATAAGAGTATATATACAAACTGTTAAAAGATAAACTTAGGAAGATTAAGATTAAAAAAAAAATCCCCCCCCTTAACTGTGTGGATATTTCAGTTTTTAAAATCAGGGTAAATTCCTGCTGGTTACCTTTCTACCATTCTAAAAGAAAGGTTTCAGATGGTGCTATAGGGTGTTCCGTCTCCTACTGTCATTGTCTGCATGTTACTCACACCCTTTAATGTATCCTGCCTAGCACAGATTTGCCCATGTACAGTAATGGCTGTGGTCACTCATTGCACAGCCACTAAGGTCTCAGATCTTCTGGTGTATAGCCAGGCCTTAGAGCAACCTGACCTTGGGACAGCCCAGAATGCTCTTCATGTAGTAACCACCTTATTTTCGACTATAAGCAAACCATGGAATTATGTGAGTTAATAATGAATCAAGTGAATGCCTACCTGAATAGTGAGATTTCAGATTTCAGATCTATAATCTCATAAAATTAGAATAAGGAGACCTGACTAATCTGAAACTCTAATTCTAAGCAAACTTTGTAGGGAGTGAGTCCTGTTGCATTCACTGGAATTTAGTTCCAAGATTGAAGATAAAAGGTAAATTCACCCTTAAGTCCATGTCATCTTCATGAAGTGGTTTTCTTTTGTCTTCTTTGGGGGATTTACAAAACAAAACAAAACATGTCTAGTCCAGTCTATAAGTCTGGCACTTTTGGTGGTTTCCCATCTAAGTATCAACCAAGTCTAAACAGACCAAGTCTGTTTAGCTTTTCCAAGATTAGTTAGATGCAGGAACTGCTGCAACTTGTTTAGAATTATGCAGCACAGAAAATGCACAGGTATTCCAGTAAGGATAACTAGTTTTATGACCACCAGGGAAAGTGATTTGCTTATTGATTTGGTCCAGCGCTGGTCCCAATTCAACACTGAAGCATTGCCAAAAGACAATGGGAAAATCCATCAAATGTTGTTGCATTTCTTACCATGCCATGGACTGCCTACCTAACAGAAGAAGATAAATGATATTTTTGGTGGAAGGGAGGAGAAAGAGAAAGGGAAAGTCATTCAAGATACAAAAAGAAGCTGTAAATGTGTGAATATTAAGGTAAGTTTTGATATTTGTGAGTAGCAGGGCACAGGAAATTAAGTACATATATCACATTAAGATATTTCAAAGGAGCATTAGAAATAACTATATATTTCACTTAGAAGGTTCAGAACCTTAGATACAAGATCTGACAAGGACATTTCACCCCCATATATGGCAAAACAAGTTGTTGCTTTATGTTTATCAACTGTAGTTACAGTTATTATAATCACCAAGTAAGGAAAGAAAAACACCTTATTTTGTCTGGAAGCTTAATAAATATTCCTTACCCTGGCAGTCCTTTCCATAGTGGTTTGCACAACACTGGGGTACCCACTTGGTGGCAAAGCATGTTTTCCTGCACCCATTAGTGAAAAGCTTTTTAGTCCTCCACTGATGGGATCGCGTTCGAAAATGTGGCTGGAAGCGCATCCTTTCAATTTTGCCGCGCCACGAAAACAAGGGAGATACATCTTCAAAATAATAGCAGCTCTGGATTTCCCCCTATTGGAAAAAGACAAACTATTTTTGCCTTTTGTTGGAGATTTAAACCTTGGGATGAAACTATAAGTTCAACTCACAAGGCATGTGGGAACTTCCTTCTATTACTCCTATGTGCTATAAATTTGCATTAGAGCACACACAAAGAAAAAATAGTGGACAGGCAAAACTGATTCTGCATCTTCAATCACCTCTTCTGACCCAGAATTCTAGGGCTCTGTCTCTATCAGAAGTCCTCAGACTGGTGGGGATTGCTTAGATGACCAAGAGAGAAATGTTTAAAACAGGTGTATAACTCTGAAATCATTGATGCACTTCAATCATCCTGCTTATGAAGTTGGAACACCACTGAAAACCAATGCGTTGCTAGGATGCCAGCAGGCTCCTCCCCTTTGTTTTCATGGAAGCAAGATGAAAAACTGTGTCATAATCAGAAGTCCAAAATCTCTACAGCCTTGTTATTCAATCTACTTTGCAATCTCCAGGTAGCTCCTAAGAATGAAACTTTTCAAGACCTTTCTCCTCTGGAAATAGACAGAAATTCAAATACAGATGCCTTTAAAAAGAAAAATCTTATTGCATCAACTCTCCAATCCATATTTCATTTTGTGATCCAAATGCTCTGAAAATTTCATCTCAAATTTACTTTGTTGCAACTAGAGCACCTCCCTATTTTCTTATCAATACATCCCATTTCCATCTTTTTCCTCCTTCTATTGACTTAATCAAATAAACTGCAGACTGAAGTATGATTTATCATATTGCCACTCTTAATTAGGACTCTGCAGCTTTCCAAAATGATTTCAAAGAAGTTCATCAGACTTCTGTTATTACACAGGGGTGCTGGGCTGGGGCAAGATCTGAAGGACATCTTCCAAATTGTTTTTGAAGGATGCTGAACTCTAGTTACTATGCTTATATGTACCCATAGCCTCTCTGTGTTTTTATAATAAAAGACAGATACTTTTATTTAAAGCTTGACATTGCGTATATTACTAATTTCCCTTCTTATAGCATGGTAACTCTAAACCCATAATCCTGAATGTACCAAATGGCAACATTCTTTTGCTTGGGATTAGGGGCATGCATTAATCCCTTGTACATGTCAAATGGTTGATTGCAAGATGTATTGGTAAATCACTATTTCATTCATTCATTCATTCATTCATTCATTCATTCATTCATTCATTCATTTTATATAG